GATTTACCCTTCAAGTCTCTACTTGGACACCATTTCCTTCCTTGAAACTTTCCCTGACAGCATGGCAGATATGGACAGGTTTCTTAGCCTCCAACGACCCTTCTGTACTACCACTTAAGCATTTTTTCACACTGAATCAAACTGGTTACAATCCTGGCTTTAGGGTAAGCACTGGACTGTTAACCACAAGGTGGACAATTCAAACCTGACAGCCACTCCTTAAACACTTTATTTAAGATTGCTATACAGCCACTCCATCAGAACCAACTTGATGGCACTTAACAATAAATAGTATACCAAACAGACTGCGTGAAAACTCCTTGAGGTCAAATAATAGCATTGTTTCTACTGTTTCCTCTTGTGCTAGGAATATAACATCAATATTGCTCTTGTTGTTATTTTTAAGTGCCAGTTAACTGATTCTAACTCATAGTGACCCTGGGTTTCCAAGAAGCAACTGGTGGGTTTGAATCACTGACCTAGCAGTCCAAGGTTTATCCTATAGTAGTGCCACATTAATAATAAACAACCTAAGTGCATATCAAGAAATGAATGGATAAACAAAATGTGGTACAAACACACTATGAAATACTATTCACTCATAATTATACTATTCAGTCATAATTAAAATAGAAGTAAAGTGAGTTTACAAATTATTTTGCAATGTGGGTGAACCTGGAAGACATAATCTGAGTCAAACAGGTCAATAACAAGAAATGCTATAGTATATTAGCTCTCTTTTATGAAATGACAAGAATAGGTGAACCATCAATACTCATTGATGGTTACAGGGTGGGGCAAAAGGGAGGCGAAATCATTCTCTTTGTGGTTTATGTTTATGGTGATGGTAAAGATGGCACCAAATGTGGTGAAGTTTACACTGCTGAACTAATATAACTGATGCCACTAAACTGTACACAAGACAAATGAAGTGGCAGATGCTATGCTATATATAATTTTACAACAATAACAATAACAAAAAACATGTCTGAGCCTACTGTTTGGGCTGTTGTGTCAGTTCATTTCACTGAGTGTTTCCCTCATTTTTGCTGACCTTCTATTTTACTAAATAGTAACAATAGTTGATATTTATCAAACATTCCACTATGTACTTTCTTTTGTAAAATATTTCATTTAATCCTCACAATAGCTTATTGTTGTTGTTGCTGTTGTTATTAAGTGCTGTCAAGCCAGTTCCAACTCACAGACTTACCTAGCGTTACTAGGTAAGTCTGTTATCCCCATTTGACAAAAACATAAGGTTAGGGAGAGGCTTGTGAAACTACCAAAGTCACACAACTTCCAAAAGGCACAGCTAGGACACATCTAATCAGTCTATTAGAGTAGGGGGTTGTTAACTTGCTTTTGTGTACTGTTTCTGAGGGTTTGAATCTTCAAGGCTGCATAAAGTCTCATCATTGTGGCTGGTGGGCTCCCACTATCAGAGTAGGTGTTATATACATATTCTGTACATACATTAATGTAATATCATTACTTTTAATATATTATAATGGAATTACAGCTCCTTCATGCTAAATAAAGATAAGTGTTACATAAAATTTCCCAGATTTAAGGGATCAAAATTCCTTGTGAATAAATTTCAGAGGAGAGTATAGACAGTTTCTGAAGTGAACTAATTTCTTCAAAATAGTCCAGTAAATTTTATTTTTCCCTGTTTCTGCTTCTTGAAGTGGAAAGATGACTTTGAAGTTACACACACCTAAGTGTGAATCCTGTATCTAGCACTTACTAGTTATAGCTGATCCAAGTTATACTACTGAACTTCAGTATTCACACCTCTGAAATGGGAATGCCACCAAGGATGCACGGGTTACAGGAGATAATGTTGACAGAGTGTACTTAGCAGAGAACCTGCCAGAGGACTACTCAAAGAATATAGTCTGCTCTAAATTGGAGATTTAAAATGTGACTCACTGAACACTCCATTCTGGAGAGTAACTGGGAACTATGTGTCATATGTCATCAAGATATGTTTATCTAGCAATTTCTCTTCTAAAAATTCATCCTAAAGAAAGATCAGAGCATAAATAAAGGTTTGTGTCTGTGTGTCCATGCACGTGCATACACTAATGCAGAAATATCCTTTGTAGAATCCACTGTAACAGCAACTGATGGAGGAGAAAGTCAATGGATCTAAATAGAAAATAAGTTTAATAAATCATATCACACCCATAAAACTACTAAGTAGGCTTTTAGAATCACTGGTACAGTACGACCTCATGCTGGTAAATCTGATGAGTGACACATGTTTATTTAATGTATATTCTGTGAAATAAAATGTTTACCCAAAGAGTCATGTTGGTTATTCCTAGGAGGTAGGATGACAAGTGATTTCTGTTTTCTTCTACTAAGATATGAGGGGGCTTTAAAAAAAAAACTCAAGGAAAAATGGAGTGAAAAGATCATGGAAATTTTAAAGCTTTTTGAAGCCTCCTACTATTAGCTATTCCATTATGAAAAAGAAAAGCCACAGAAGCAAACAAACAAACAAAATGCTGTGCTTTCTTGTGAGTTCAAGTAGTCACCATTACCTTTCTGGTACATTTGTCTTTAGAACATAATTTCTAAATAAATAGCTGTCAGAGTCAAACTGGCCGCAGAAATTTCTCAAATAGGGAGTTATTAAGTTTGCTGTAAATTTACCTTAAAAGTGTTTCTAACACAAATCAGTAAACATATGTAATTATTTTTCAGAGTAGATTTTCTAGAACCCCTCGTTTGATTATAGATGAATAATAGCAAGCTGTAAGAGTAAATGTGAAGCCTTTTTCTCAGAGAGACACCTTAAAGTAACAGCATAAAAATGTAGAAAGACAGATACAGGTCAGAAACCACTCTGTTCACTACTTTTTCTCAGGCCACCTCCTTACCATTTTTAAAATCTTGGAACTTTCAAGTTATAAAAGGTGGTGTAAGCATGAAGGGTTAGACTACGTAAGACTAAAGAAGGCACGAGTAAAGTGGTACTCTGGGAACTGAGCTTGAGAGAGTCTAGGACCCGAAGGGAAGTGTAGCCTGGAGCCACAGGGTTGGTTGGTTGGTTGGTTATGTATAATGGAGTCAGTTAAGTCTCATAGCAACCCTGTACGGGGTTTCTGAGGTTGTAAATCTTTACAGGAGCAGAAAGCCTCATTTTTCTCCCATGAAACAGCTGCTGACCTCACAGTTCGCAGTCCGATTCGCAACCACTACGCTACCAGAGCTGCTTGGAACCACAGGGTGGTAACTGATAAAAACAGTAAAAAGAAACAAATAAAATTCACTGCTGAACCAGGGGGCAGACTTGCAGGGTATACCCTTTGGTTGGTTGATGATGCATGGAGGGGACTGTAACCATGACAATGAAACGATATACGACAAGATAAATATAAAGCTACTGTTCTCCCATATAAAGTA